TTGTATAGCAATTCTCATCCTGCACCTCGATCACCTTTTTCTCCCTACATCTTTCATTTTACACTTTTGCTCTTTATTTACTAAAAATCAAACAAAAATTAATGATTACTTAATGATTTCTCAACGTATAAATATTAAATATAATTGTTACTGTACATGCACCCTTTCACGGTTATTTTTCTGACTTTCATTTTTCACTCCTTCAGTTCTTCAGTGCACTGTTGTATGTTTTCTCTGGTTGTGCTTGGTAGTGTTGTGAACAATAATAGTGGAGGAAGAAAAGAATGGTGGTGGTGCTGTGGAGAGTGGAAGAGGAAGAAGGCAACTAAAGTTACATGTTAGTATATTATTTTTAAAGTAAACACCTAAACCTCAAGGAGTAAACACGTAAACCACCGTTGGAGATGCGGTTAACAGTGGCGCAGTTGGAACATCGATTAAAGGAGGCTGAAATTTGATTTTCGGCTCACCCCAATCGGACTTCGAAATGCGGTTTAGGGGTGTCGCACTTTCAAGTGCGGTTTCACTATGCTTTCATTTTTTTTTTTTGCATTTTCACACTTCCTGCCTTCACCTGCTTATCGTTTTATGTTTATTAGTACTTTTCATACTAAAATATTGAAACAATTACATAATAATAAATATTGAAACAAATAATAAAGCTTAATTAATAAATATTGAAACAAACATATTAATTAATATTTTTTTTATTGTATTATAAATGAGAATAAAGAAAAAAATATTTCAAAAGAGAAAAATATTATAAATTTATTCATTCAATATTCTAATATTATAAATAGATAAATGACACAAAAATTATTAATATTATAAATTTTTTTATTCGCTTTTTGGATTTGTTTTTGAGTTTTGTATGTTAATTTTTTTATTTTGAATGATTTTTGGTATTTATCATAATTTTAGAGTGAAATTATTTAAATTTGAATTACAAAAAATTATAATTTTTTTGGATTTAAAAAAACCGTAATTAAGTGAACTAACCCATTTAATCCACCAACCCGTAATGGATCAGGTCGAGTTCAAAATTTTTCGATTTGCTAATAAATGAACCAGATTTAGTTGACTTACTAAATGATCAACCATGGTCTCGGACCGGTGTATCTTCAAATGAATGCATCAGACAAGGAATTCATTGAGTTTTCAGTGAATGAAACTCACGGCAAGGAAAATATCAGGTCGTAAGACAAGAGTTTTAATTGAAACCAAATTTCAACCCTCATCTAGTCAATACTTTCGTTCCTGTGAGTCGTCAAATTATACAAGTACATTAAATGGTTGACAAAAACTTCGATCAATCTATAATCTATTGGCCTATAGATCGATCGTTAATAGCTTACCAAATACTGTTAATTTGATAAAAAGAAGTATTGCCACAAATGTAGTCATCCAAAATTGTGTTCTGTAATCAAGTTGAGGATAAAAAATAAAACTAGAAAATTTCTGCATAACTTTCATTCATTTCTCAGCGCCTACTAAGAACAGAAAAATTAAAGCACAGTTTGGAAATATCCCAGAAAAGACCAACTACATCACCTAACCTTAAGTCCCTTCTCCGGATAAAATCATGGTTCCAGTTAATCGTTAAAATATGAGAATTTACGTATTTGGTGAGAGTTAGAGTGTGCCGAGTGTCGGTGTTCACATCCCAAATGCCAACTTTAATCCCTTCTTTAATCTCATCAGTAGTAGCATTTATCACAGGTAACAAGAACCTCTTTGCCATATTTGCTGGTACGAGGAGCCAACTTTTCAGATCATGTTCTTGTAATTGTTTCTTGATCTTCCAGGGGTCTTGTGTCTTCTCAAACGATCGACGACGACCTATCTGTAGCTTCAGCTTTCGTGATTTTTCTGCCACATTCTCCAGCTTCACGATTTCTGCACATTCTGGAGCATTCTGACCTTCAGTGATAATGTTCTGAAATTCCATCAAAATTTTCTGCAGTTTGATCTCATCCAAATGTTCTTGGTCATTTTGCTCTTCTATGAGAGTATTCTCTATTTCCATCAGAACATTCTTCAGTTTCATGATGTCCGAATGTTCTTGAACATTCTCGTCTTCCATGACTGCAAAATTTTCTTGCGCATTTTGCTGCTCCATGGTCGCAAATTGTTCTGTCACATTTATTAGCTTAATGGCTGCTGACACAAACTGCTCCTCCATGGTTAAGATGTCTATGAGATCATGTTGTTGTTCCATGGTTAAGAAAGGAGATTTATCATTCTGCTGATCCATCTGAAAATTTTGCTGCTCCTTGGCAAAGAAAAGTTTCTGAACATTCTGCTGCCCCATGGTTAAATATCCTTCATCATTCTGCTGCTGCTCCATGGTTTCTGAACGTTCTTGGCCATAATGCTTCTCCAGGAGAATATTCTCCAGGGCCATGATTTCCAAATATAGTACAGCGTTCTGCCCTTCAATTATCCTATTCTCCAATTCTGTGGCAATATTCTGCAGTTTCATGCTAACCAAATGTTCTTGGGCATACAGCACTTCTATGAGCATATTCTGCGCTTCCATCATAACAAAATTTTCTTGTACATTCTCCTCTTGCATGATATCATTGTGCAGCTCCATGATTTCCAAATGTTCCTCAACATTCTGATTCTCCCTGGTTTCAAATTGTTTTTCAACATTCTGCAGCTGCATTCTTTCCGAATCTTCTTCAGTGTTCTGCTGCTCCATGATATCCAAATTTAAATCTGGAACACCCTCAACCCTCATGGTTGGCAAATTTATATGCGTGTTGCTCTGAGTGTCCTCTTCCATACAAATTATACCAAAGCATATCAGGGAATGTGAAATTATTAACCTTGAAACAATACTAGCTAGCTTTTTCATTTTTAGCAAGAAAGTACATTCTATTAGAAAGAAAATACACAATCCATGAAATAGTAATTGAAAGAAAAATTAGAATGATTGATCAAGATACACTCCATTACAGGTAAAATTGAATAGCAGATAGGAACTGATGAGAAGAAAAAGAAACTAAAGAAAAGAAGTGATAAATGTAGATACACCCCGTTACAGGTAAGCTTGGATATATACTAGAAAAAGAGCGATTAGAAGGAAAGAAAACAAAGAAAAGTGATGGTGAAGAAAACTAACATGAAGAAAAAGAAGAGAGAATGTTAGGCTTTGTTGGTATTTTGGTTTTGGGAGTTCATTGCTGCGCTTCAAATCCTCTTGGAACTCGTTAAGAACAATCAGTGGCCACCTTCTTCCAAGATTCCTTTTTCTTTTTCGTCTCTCTTTCCCTCTGTTACTTCGATCAGATGAATGATATGACTGAATGAACGTGATGCCATGACTTACTTGCATAGTTACTATATATATATATATATATATATATATATATATATATAACCTTTAACTGAATAACGTTTAACTCATTGAAGTAATTCCAACTGCTACACTCTAACTGTTATAACAGTAACAATGGTCGTGCATGCCACTTCCCATGCACACGCACTAACAAGAACATAAGAACATATGGGTTTTTAGTTGATTTTTTAGTACTAATAAAAATCAATTTTTTTCTTATTTAAGCAGTGATATATTTAAACATCCAATAACTCCAAAGTTAATGCTTATAGTATTACTCACCTTTTGTATATATTTTCTCTCCGTCCTATTTATTACTTTAAGTCATATCCAATACAAAGTTTAAGATCTCATCATACTATATTATGTTTTAAGATCTTATTTTCTAAATGCTGTTTTAATAAAAAAATCTTATAAGATTTTAATAATTTTATGTAAATATAATTGTTCATAATAAAAAAATATATTTTTATAATTGATATGATTGTGTTTAACATTGAGAATTTTAAATGACAGCATCAACATGTTCCAATTATCAGATTCAACTCTTAAATTTAAGATTCTAGGTATGGATTTAAATTAGATATGTCTTTAATTAGATGTTATAGTATAAGATAAAACAGGTTGGTATAGTCATATTTTAGAAATTCATAAGAGAATTAATTCATTTTGAAATTCGACTCAATGTAGTATTGTAATAATTTTTTAGCATATTTTACTTCTCTCTATCTTAATATTGAAATAGGGCTTTGTGTATTATTGCATTAATGATTTTTTTTTACTTAGTTTTCTTGTCTCTCTATATTTCTTTATCTCTTTAATATCTCTACTTTTAATTTTTACATTTTCAAAGACTTCAGAATTGATATATGATTCGATAAATATAAAATGGACATATGATTTGATGAAGTCTTTTCTATGTTTTACCATTTTTAGAAGTTGACGTATATTTATTGAAATTTTGTAAAGAAATCTTACTTATTATATTAGCTTGAACCTTTGTAATTGTACTTTTAAACTTTATTAGAGTCCATGTTTGGACCTAGTTGCTCCAATTTTGAAAGCATATATAAAGCTTAAATGTGCTTAAGTATAAGGGAGAAAAATCGTTTTCCAAAATTTCAGAGTTTTAGTTTTCTCTCTTTTCTCTCTATTTTCATTTTTTCTTTTCTATTTTCTTATTAGCATTTGTTCAATATATCACGTCAAAATAAAAACATGGAGTCTAATCAATTTTCTCTCAACGGTCTCAAGTATACAATAACTTTTACTTTGTTGTTGTAATTATGGTGTTATTATGTTAAGGCATTTTTTTGTTGTAACAACGATTTAAGTTATTACTATAATAAACCTAATTCTCATCATATTCTTGAGTTTTTGATTTTTTTTTTCAAAAAAGTTCACGAGAAAGAAATTATATATATTTGAACTCATAAAAATTAATCCTAGTTTTAACTCAACTTTGCAAAAGACATGGATCTTTATCTTATTTAGTATTTAATTTTGTCACTTTCATTTATATCAACACTTGGTCAATAACATCAATAGTTATACTGTCAAATTTAAATAGTAAAGTAAATAAACACATCCTTCATGTTTGTTTAGAAAAGTTGTTTTTATTTATTTATTTCTGTATGAAACAACCACGTGTTACATTCTATATATCCCTGTGAAATTGAAACATGGGGAGAACTTCCCTTTGTATGTGTTTGGCAATATATTGGTAGACAAGTTGTGTTGGATGAACACTGTCCCAAAATACATACTTTGAAGGATCATCACATGTTGAAGTGAATTCATTGCACAATGGAGTTACTTCAAACAACCCAGTTCCACAACACCCTTTATTCGTCTCTTTGAAACCTGTGTGACAAAGTGTCAAAAACAGTGTATAATAGATATTGGTTAAACATATAATTTTGTTCATACATCAAACAAATTCTCAACAACGCATGCAACTTTTCTTTACTAAAAGTGAATATAATCTAAACATGTCCATAATATACTCACCATATTTTTGTGGCTGATTTATAAGGTTGATCAATGTGTGATATATATCTGTATAAACAACTTTGCTTCCTGGAAGCATTGCTTGTATTTTAAGCAATAGCCGTGTCAATTTTCGATTGTAGAGCTTTGCATCTGAATTCTCATCATCTACACATTTCCTATCTTTTATTCTTCCTGACTTTGTTATTTGAATAGGTATGCAGCCAATACAAGGAAGCCCAGATACAGCAAAATTTCTGCATCCAATATCATACAATTCCTACAATTTTTTTTCCTCCAAAGGTTAAGAAATAGATTTTAAATTTAACTCAATCTCGAGTTAGATTTTCACCCGCTTATATAATATAAACATATTTTATTTTTGATTGATGTAAGATCTTCAACGTATCTTCTTATGTCGAGACATATACATATTTAATATACAATTAAATATTAATGAGTCTGATTACTGTTCCATAAACGAATATACTCACTGATAGATATACAATATATTTAAAAAAAACAAATTTTATTAAAATAAGTTTTGGGTGATTCTGATACCATGTTAAAAAGTGATATTTAAGTCTAGCGGAATTCTTTCAAATTAAAAATCTTAAGAGTTGCGATAATATGATTGAAAAATTTGGGATAAATAACTCATGTTTTACCTTAATGAATCTCTGAATTCTATTCTGCACGTAATCTTGGTATCCATCAATGTTGAACTCCAATTTTCTAGTGGAAATGTCATAAAAGTTGAGGAGAAAGTCATTAGTTCCTGCACTGATAATAACAAGAGAATCTCTAAGTATCTGTTTAGCTTCATGTTCTCCTGCAATGGCCTTGAGTCTTCCTACGTAAACTTTGAAGTATTCAATTTGTTGTGACATTGGTATTGCACCTGTTAAAGCAGTGGTGAAATCATCAAAACCTGATCCCCCAGATGCAAAGCTAACACCTGTTAGAAGATCTTCATCTGATAGGTTAGGTTGAAGGAAAGGAGGAACAGTGTGTTTGAGGTTCAACACTGAGGCAATGAAGTCAGGAACCAATTTTCCATTGGAAAACCTACCAGTAGGCACATGACCAGGGAAATCCTTACCATAAGGAAAATGATTTCCTTTTGCCAAAGTTTTGATGCAGTTGTTGTTGCCTGTGTCAACTGTTGAATCCCCAAACACTAGAATGGATGAGAACTTGGGTCTTATCAAGTCATTGCCAAAGCTTGCAACAACAAAACTGGTGCAAAGGTGTACCAAAATGATAGAGTAGGATGCATAATAAGCCATTACTATAACTTCTTATGTGGTAAGATAAAATTTATACAGTGAATGTAAGAAGAAACTTGTTAATTAGTTTCGACTTTAAATTTGTGTATTGCAAGTGATCCGAATCCAAGAAATCAAAACGTGAGAATGATGCCAAGACAGCTATTTTAGGTAAGTGAAAACAACGTCAATGAATTTTCCTGGATTTTATTGAACTAGGTTTTCAAATAGGAAAAAAGTTACTTAACATTAAATTATATATAAATTGAGATAAAAATATGTAAATATATGACGCCTTTAGTTTATGGATAAATTAAGGATTAAATATATTTTTATTTCCTAATTTATAATGCGTTTTTTGTTTTCATCTCTCTTTTTTTAAAAAGACACATGTTTAGTTTTTATTGGCAAATAGTGAGTCACGTCCCAGACCCGTTAAGATAATTATATTGTGTCCCAAGGTCACTATGATACCTCAGCAGCAAACAGTATGTCATGTCCCCAACCCAATAAGGTATGCAAGACAAGTGTATTGTGTGCCCAAGTCGTCAAGACATCTCGATAACTTAGTGAAAAGTCGGATAGCTTGGCAAGATATTCATAAAGCTCGATAAGGTGCATCAAGAAATCAGATAACACGGTGGGAAGTCCAGATAGGCCGGTAAGGTGAATTGAAAACTCAGATAGCTCGGTGAGAAGTCTAAATAGCTCAGTAAAGTGCATGGAGAAGTAAGTTAACTTGGTCGAAAATCAAGAGAGCTCGACAAGGTGTTATCCAAGCTATCTGAACAACTCATCGAGTTATCTGATTTCTCAATACACTTTACCGAGCTATATGGAACTCCCACCAAGATATCAGAGTTCCCCATACACCTTACTGGGCTATTTGAACTTTCCACCGAACTATTTGAGTTCTTTATTAACCTTACTGAACTGTCTGGACTTACCATTAAAGTATCTGACTTATTGATGCACCTTATAGAGCTCTAAGGATTTCTTGTTGAGAAATCTAACTTTTCACCGAGCTATCCAGATGTCTTGTCGACTTAGGAAAACAGTATACTGTTTTGCGATCTTACCAGGTTGGAGACATGACACACTCGTTTCCACTAAGCTATCTTGCCAATCTTGTGACACCATACACATGTCTTAAAAGGTGGTACATTGTTTGCCATGTTTGAAAAAAAAAATAATAGTATTGATAGTAAAAGACTAAATTAGTGACTTTCTAAAAAGAAAAGAATGAAAATTGATCAAAGTTTGAAAGATAGACAAAAAAAAGCATAATAATTTAGGGATCAAAATTATATTTAACCCATAAATTAATAATAAGTTAAGGAAAACATAATTTTAATACTTTCACTTTTTCTTCTAAGCATTTATTATAATTGGAAAAATTGATTCATGAATTTATAGATAAATAAATATTATGTATCATAATGATTGGGACAATTCTCTTTACTACTTTTATATGACAAATACGTAAATTTGAAACATGTACGTTTTTAGTTGAAATCACATGTATCAAACTTTCCAATTAAGTTGCGGTCAGCACCCCCTCAATTTCTTTACGCATCCTCAAAGTTTTGAAATAAACAGTTTTACTTTCCAATTCTTCCCTTTACTTCTTTGAATATAACTAAAATAAAAATAACAAAAAGTATCATTTTTGAATCCATAAGTGTATTATAGATTATTCAGTCTAGAATATAACACCCAATCTAAGATTGAATGGTTGAAAGAATATTAAACCGTGAATGGTACCAAAGTCAAATTTTGCTTTTCTCATTTCTGTGCTACAGAAGTCTAATATTGGCTTCTACTTTTTCAGTTGAAAGTTGAGTGACAATCACGGACCATTATAAAACTCTAACCAACCTTTTGAAAAGTTGTCTTCCACTTGTGGAAAATGATTTAAAAACCAATAAGGGTAAACTTTTTGTTGTCTTCAAAATAAGAAAGCATTTGCAAAAAAATATGTTTCTCAATTTCATGTTCCTGTGAAAATAAAAATTTTCCTTCTGCCAAATTTTCTTGAAAGTGCTTTTAAATATCTCAAAGGATCAACTTAATCTTGTTAAATTTTGATGGGCAATGGAAAATGCTATATGACAGTTTGTACCAATTGCAGTAACTCAACACAAACGTGAAATTAAGGTAGATAGATGATTGAACATTTTATATTTCCTGCAAAAACCAAGAGAATGCAACAATAATTTACACTTGAAATCCATAGAACCCTCCTCTGTAGCACGGTTTAACAACAGCAATGAAATGTCTGCAAAACAACCGTACTGTTTATGCTGTTCTATGTCAAGGCTGTCAAGCATTCCATGGCAGCCTATGCGGATACATTCAATTGCTTCCTCACATGGCTTATTTGAAATGACTGATTATGCATATAACTCATTGCTGCATATAATAAGCAAAAAGCAATTGTCTAGAAAAGAATACATCAACTGCAGAAGCCACCACTAGTTTCTTGTTGCTTTTGTACATTAAGGCCTCTTAGCAGCAATTCACCTGTGAGGAGCAGATGTATGTGGCATAGGGTACGTGACAGGACTCACAGTTACCGGTGCACCAGGTACAACTGCACCGGTAACCGGAGCCCTGACACCATATGCCATGTGTGCAGGTGAAGGAAGGTTCACTGGAGTGCCAACTGCAGATACTAAGGGTCCTCCTACAGGTTGTCCAATGGTAGGAGCAGCATATATTCCAACTCCTGGCACTCCGGTTGAGGCCGGGGTGGCTTGTTTGGTTGCTTTGGCAGTAGAATTGGTGGCAGCACCATTCGTCTGACCGGTGATTGGTCCTTGTGGAGCTAAAACGTCACCGTTGTTAACGCTGGTGATATCGTGTATGCTGGATCGCCTTCTATCTTTGTTCATGGAGTTTAATCGAATAAAGTACTTTTGGGCATGGCTGGCAACTTGTGTAGGTGTTCTTGTCACCACAAAGTTTCTTGATATGCTTCGCCAATCACCTTTCCCATACTTGTCCAAGCCCAGAAGAAACAACCTGTTCAAACAATTTGAAATATTAAAACAAAATAAAGCTTAAGTACATGGACGCATGTATCTGAGATCCAAGAAAGAGAACCATTCAATGACAGTATCCATAAACTGTAAAATTCACACACTGGTGCAATCATTCATCGTAAGATTGTAATTCCTAACTGAAGAAATCCAATAAGCATTACTCCCTGACTTGCATTAAAATCAACAGTTAGCTTATTTCCAATCGTATTTCTTTCTTTAGTTGCTATTTCCAGGTAATATCAGATAAAAAACTATACACAGATCTTGGCAGGAACATAATCGGTTGCTCACTCTTTGCTTAGTGTAAAACCAATTTAGGATGGTGGCTCAGTTTTTGGCAGTAGATGTGAAATTATTCTAAGAGAAAGAAAAGAAGAATTAGATGTCAGGCATAAATTTGACTAGTATCAGAATTTATCATTAAAATGTGAACAATAAGAATATAATGAATCAGAGTTCTTTTGTTGTATGACCATTTTAAAGTCCTTATAAATATGCCAGTATGAAGTAGGGATATTGAGCATCATGAACTTTACATTTGACATAAAGCAACAAGAAACAGGAATCAGAAGTTAAAAAAGGTAGGGCAGGACTACTAAGTAATAACCAACGTTTCAAGCCTTCTCGACAGCATTTGCAATGTAAAGAAACAATACGTTACATTATAATACACGATACACAGACACATATATAACTTAATATCAAGTTTCTTATATTATTGTCCAAGGTCTTAAATCAGCTGTGATTTGCGAACATTTTAAAATAAAACGCACTACAACATCCGTAAAGGAGGTTGGTTAATGCTGGAAAAAACATTCACATCACATGTCAATGTTTGATTTGAGAATTTGATGACAAATTAGACACAACTTTCTCTATAGATTTAATATGAGGCAACAAGAAAAGGGAGCCCAGCTTAGCTGAAAGATATCAAGAGATGGTGCCTGGAGTAATAATCCAAGTTCCAAGCCTACTAGTGAACTATAATACAATAATAACAGCATATCATAACATAATCATACTTCTGAAAAAAGTAGAATGTGCTCATATTTTTAATGGGAGATTAAGAATCAATATTTCTTTTTCTGCATGCAGAGGGTGCAATCTTGTTAGCAATTTAATGAGAAAAAGAATATAGCAACCTCCTTCAGAATTTAATGAGCACTACAAGGTTAACATAAATGACTTAAAAGACTAACTATAATTAAGTAACCACGACACAGCAGTTTAGGCAGACTTAAAATCTAACCAATCCCATACTTTATACTCCATTCCCTGCCAAACTTAAAACCAGATTATTGCCATTTCTTGGAAACAGTGATACTAAAAGCCAGTAAAAGGATGGAAAAAATGTGTCAGCTTTGACCATAAACAATTAGAAACTGGACAACAGAAAACGGATAAATAAAATATTGACTTTACTTCCCAAAGCCTTTGACTTTGATAGGAGAAATAAATAAAGGAGGCAGTTATAACCTCCTATAGCCTAAAACAGACTATGATATATAGTCTGTTTTAGGCTGTTGTTTTTAGTTTTTTGAAGTTTAGGAGGAAAAGGGTTTGGGAGAGTTAAGGTCCTCTCGGGAGACCTGTTTGCTGAGGTATCTTGTGTTGTATTCCTGCCACATTGGCAGAACAACTGTGTTCATAATAAAATCATTCAAGAACCTGTCTTGGATCATTCTTTAGCTACTGGGTGACCTATCAGGCTTAGCCACATATGGTGTACCAAACATGCTCACTGTAAGAGGTTCAATCCTATGCGCCAGTTCCTTTTACCCATCACCTTTGGCATCCTAATGGAATATCTCCTAGGCTTCTCCACTATGGTGGGACCACCCAAGGCCCCAAAACTCTCGTTAAGCCACCAAAAATCCTGCTTTTTATTAAACAGGAGAAAAGTAGGACAAGGTTTAAGCATCACTCCAGTCCCCACAGAACATTCAACCAGCTCAAATAGAATTGCTTTCTTGTGGG